TTGAAGATCTCGCCGTAGAGCTGGGTGATGGTGGCAAGCCCGCCGAGCCGAAGTTGATCTTGCCGGGGTTGGACTTGGCGTAGGCGATGAACTCCTGGAGGTTGTTGGCGGGCACCTGCGGGTTGATGCCCATGCCCATCCACGAGGTCGCGGTGCGGGCCACCGCCACGAGGTCCTTCGACGTATCATAAGGCAGCGGCTGCAGGTGCTCGGTGATGCAGACCATCGCCGTGGTCGTGGTCAGGAAAGTGTAGCCGTCGGCCGGCGCGCTCTTGATGACGTGCTCGGCACCGATCGCACCGCTGGCGCCGGCCTTGTTGTCGAACAGGATGCTCTGTCCCAGAATCGATCCCGCGCGCTCCAGCACGATGCGGGTGGTGACGTCGGAGGGCCCGCCCGGCGGATAGGGAATGACGACCCGGATCTGCTTGTTGGGCCAGTCGTTCTGCGCCGACACGATCGCCGGCGCCGCGACGAGTCCTGCAGCCGTTCCACCGATGAAAAGACGCCGTCCGACTTTCGCCGGATTCTTCCTGCGGTTGTCCATGGCCGTTGCCCTCCCAGGCAATTGTTTTGCCGGGAAGGCTACACCAAGCGTCAGGAAAGGCCAGCCACCGCTTCTTCGCCGTTGCGCTCGAAGGTAAAGTGGTCACGGATGTGGCGGTTGAAGAATTCACCCTTGGAGAAAGCCGCCTTCATCGCGTCGTAGGTCTCTTCGGGAACGCCGAGATAGGTATAGCGGCGGCGCGACTGGAAGACGATGTCCAGCGCCTGCCGCCGGCGGTCGTATCGATAGGAGCGGATGACGGTCGAGGGCATGACCGGGTAACGCCCGAAGCGTCCTGGGGGATGCCGGGCACTGAAGCCAACGCGGGAGGAGAAGCATGAGTTTGCAGTCCGAAGGCCATATGCCAGCCGTTCTACAAACCGGTCCGCTCCGACCTTCCTTTCCCGTATGGGGCCTGTTCGGCCGCGCACTCCTCTATGTGGTCGGCCAGGTCCTGATCGTCCCGGCGCCGTGGACCGGTCACGGGCTTCTACCGGTTCCTCTTCCGAGCACGTCTCGCTGCCCGACGGAAGACGCCTCCGCTTCGCGGCCCA